TGTATTTATACAACCTGTCATTTGGCTTATATTTTGCAAAGACAAGTGCGTAGCACATGTCAATTCATCAATCAATAAAATATGCCTAAATGAAACTACAATCCAGACAACATGGTTGAGGTTTTGATTCATATGTTTGCATGTGAATCTTATAATGTTATTCATGTTAGTATTACATGAACCTAATAATTTAGTAAAGCTATGGTTTCAAAGGAAATTGCATAAAAGCTTATCATATATTGATTTTGGGCTTGAAAGATAAATAGAGTTTAGGAACAATTTCCCGATTCTAAACTAATTTGGGATCCTAATTTAACTTGAATTCGTCGGGGATACCGGGGAGGGCATGGGGCAGCGCGCCATGAAGGTGTCACGACAAGCACTTAGCAGTTCAGGGCCTGGCACCCTGCGCCAGCAGTGCGCCAAAGGTCGTTGGGCCGATTCTTTTTCCTTTGTTCATCCAGCGCATACTCCTTTAAGTTATGGCCACGTTTTCCTTCTCTGTATTAACTTATATAGGCTCCATTATCCTTAAAAAATTCATGCATATACATACACAAACATCAAACTTAAAAAAATGCTAAATCAACAGTGTAATAAATCTCAAAATCTCTGAATATACTGAGTATGAAACATAAGTTTTAAATAAAAACAACTCTTCAAAACTGTCTATCTATGAAGCCTCTACTATATATAGATGAGTGTTGGGACAAGACCCATGACTATTCAAAATGGTACTAATACTAACAACTCATAAAATTGGAGTCCTCCGAAAACAATGAGACCTCACTCAAAAGCTGACTAGCAGATGAAGTGATCTAAACGAACTCTTGTTGAGGATTCTAAGAACTTGTATATGCATCATTAAACGATGTAGATCGAATGACATCAATACATTGAATGTACGATTATGTAATATAGCTGAATAGCAAATAACTGAATGAAAGGACTGCAATAAATATATCTCAACTGAATGTAAAGAAACAAAGGAGTGAAATTATTAAAACTTTACAAAATACTTGCTCATCTCTGAACTCAACATATTAAGTGATATAATAAAAATATACTTTTAACTCTATTTGGGAGATTTTTTAACCGACAATCATCACTATGAGTTACGCGATGATACAACATCTCGCCTATGCTGCCAGAACTGTCACTACTCTGAAATATTTATGTACTCATTGCTCATTTAGAAAAACAAGGTTTCTCTTAGCTCAATGTAAAAATATTTTCTCTAGGTTGAGATAATTAATCAAAAGGCCCTCTTTAAGAGATAACTGCTTTGTATTGTTACTTTTCTCAAAATCTTTCTTCATGTAAAAATGAAACATTTGAAAAATACTTAGTTCCCTTATACTCTTGCTCAAATCTTGATTAAAACTCTTTCTCAAACTTCTCTTTACTTTCTCAAAAACTTAGTTTAAAATAAAAATGTTGGCTTTAAAAGATTCTCAAAATTTATAACTCAAAATAGGGTTCATGCTAAAATATAGACATGAACAAATGAGCTCAAGGATCTCAATAACAATATAGAAAACTCAATAGTCAGGACTCGAGAACTCAACGATACTACTCATCTCAAGAATACTTAATTCATAGGGTTCATGCTGAAATGTAGATATGAACGAATCAACTCAAGAATCTTAATGCATAATATATAGCAATTCAATATTTGGGAATACAATTTCAAAAAGAATTAGGAACTCAAAATCTCAAAATCAACTCATCTTAGGAAAAACTCAAATCTAGGGATAGAACCCTAAATTACTCTTTTACTGATTTGAAAGTAGATGTAGGGCATGAGGACGAACTAGTCCAACACTATGATAGTCTTACATACCTATAAGATCTTGAAGAAGAACTTGATTAGAAGCTTTGAAACCCTAGCTTGAAGGAAAACAATCAAGAAAACCTTTCTTGGAATTCTTGAATTAGTTTCTTGAAATCTCTATGGCCAAGAAATTATGATTTTCATTTGTGATTCACAAATGTATGGAGGAATTTGAGTTGGAAAGAATGAAATTATTGGAGAAGGACTTACCTTGAAGAAGAATCTTGAAAAAGATTAAAGGAATCTTGAATTGAAGTCTTCTACTTTGATTTTTCCTTAGGGTTTTGCCTTAGGGTTTGAGGAAGAAGAGAATGTTGGATTAAGAGATGAAAATATGATTGGTTTGGGACTTTAATTAGTCCAGAAATTCATTTAGGGTTTTCTTAGAGGTAAAAAGACAAAAATGATCCTTTTTAAAATTTTCTCGTCGGCTAATTCGTCTTTACATTGTATCAGGTTACTAAAATGGTCATAACTTTCTACTCTGAACTCATATTGATGCAAAACTGGTGGCATTGGAAAGAATATTCGAATACCTTTAATTCAATAGAATTTGGACCACGTAACTATTTATATTCTAAGAGATATGATTGTTTGAAGTTGACCCAAGTAGAATCATACATCAAAACTTAATTTGGATGGAAGCTTTCAACTCAACTTTGTGCTAGAGGGGTTCTAGTGACCTTAAATTCATATCCAAATCCATTCCACACTAAATAATTGACCTTTACACATATGAGCAATTTAAGAATCACCCAATACGACCTTACATGTAAATAAAGAATAATTCAGGTCTTAGCTTATAAATTTTTGGGGTACATCAGTTACTTTTTTATACAATCAGAGCGTATTCATATATTGTGATGGTATCAGAGAGGAAAAAAAGTGTGGGCGCTGACGTTAGTATGACATCAACGTGCAATTTTTTTTTTGATATTGTTGACACCCAATTTTGACCCTCAACAATATAAATTAATCATTTCGAGCTTCTCCAATTTCAAACGATTTAAAATAATTAGTTTTATAAAATCTCCAAAAAATAATAATATAGTTTGCAAGATTTTTTAATAGTTTTCACTTTTCATAATTTTTAGATAATAAATATGTTTTACATAATTATGTGTATAATTGATATATTTTATGATTATTCGAAAATTGACTTGAATTTTTTTTTTATATTTTAAATTTAGGGATAGTTATAATTTTGAATTAATGAGTTTTATGAAATTCAAAATACTTTCAAGTTATTATTTTAAAGTAATTTTATCATTTTTTAATAATAAACATGTATATTTTAGCAATCACGTTATTTTATAAATATTTGAAAAGTCATCACAAAAGATTTTACATTTTAGTTAAATATTTTATTAATTTACTTTAAGTTATAGTTATAATATCGAGTTAATTGGTTTTGTAATTGAATTAGTTAGTTTATAATTAAGTTAATTATTTCTTATTTTGTTAAGATTAAGAAGCTCATTAATTAATTTATATTAACTCATCTTGTTTACATTTTAGCTGAATTCACCAATTAAATTCTATTAGGCTATAATTGAAATCCATTATTTAATAACAATTTATCCCATCTTTTAAGAATAATTTTGGGACATTTCCTAAAGGCCCAATTCTAATTCCCTATACAACAAATAATTCCAGCACATTTCCCCTTCTTTGCTTTCCAATTCAACACCCCTTTTCAGCCCACATCCTTAGCTCCGACCCGGCCCAACTCTTTGTCATCAACAAAGTGACCCAGTAGGTGAACATCACAGCAGCTTCCAAACATCAACAATACAATACATACAACCGACCCAACTTCACTTCTTCTTCTCCCTTACGCCTACAACCCAACAGCCGCAATAACAGCACCAAACTGACCCCACTGCCCATACTCGTTTTCTTCTTCCAAACGCAAACCCAGAAATCCAGCGAGAAATCACGCCATCGATCACATCGTCATCTCTTTTCCCCCTTTCTAAGGGATTTTCAAATCCCTCGCACTGTTGTGGCAGAGGAGTCCCAATTGGAAATGGGAAATTTCACCCGATTACCCCTAATTTCCATCTATATATTAATCTCTTTGGGTCGCAATTAAAGGAGGAAAAAAAAAGATTAAGAGTTAGCTAAGTATTGAGAGGAAGAAATATATCTAAAACAAAAAATCTTTGAAACTGTTCTTGATCGCTTTTGTCTCGTTCATTCGAGTTTCTCAAAGTTGTGTTTCGTTGGAAGAATCGCTGCTCTCCTAGTCTCAGCTAACTGCCCTCGAAAAGGTAAAATTCTTTCTCTTTAAGATGTTTTTGGGTCTGTTTCTTTAGTCTCCGAAATAAGGTTCTTGATTGTTGTTTGTTAAATGTTGGCTGTAAGTTCTGTCTTGAGTGCATTCAACTCATCATGTTAGTGTAATTTCTTTCATTATGATTCCTTCGAATCATGATAGTGAATAGGGGTCGAATGTTAGCGAAGTTCTTACTTAGTATGCTATGTTGTTGGTTTGATTCATTGACTCATTTTTTGTATTCACATAATAATTTATTCTGCTCTACTATGAATGATTAGCGTTTTGTTAGATTAAGAATGCATTAGTTGTGTTGTTTGTTCTGGATTTTATCAACATGAGGTAAAAGTAGTGGTTGTCCTTATTGTATTTTTTTTTTTGGCAACAACTCTTATCATTTCCCTTGTGATTTTGCTTAATAAATATATATTCAGCCCCTCCTCTCATCTAATTGAGACGACCGATTAAGTCCTTTACCCGTAGTTGTCGTTCCCCCTTTGGCATGGTTTTTCGAGTCTCTCGTATTTTGTGTGCATTTGTTAGTTCATGTCTTTAATTTGATCATGAGTTAAGAAGGTATATGAGTTCGTTTGTTATGGCAATTTGAAAGGTTTGCTAGTTCGCTAGTTTAGGTCTCGGTGGGAGCTTTCAAAATGGGTATTTAGATGGTTGGTTTCCTTTTCCCTCGATTTTTTTTTTCTTATAGTGTCGCATGTTCAATCTTTGTTTGAGATTTGTTGCTTTCGTTTAACTCTTTTGAAAATAATAGGTGTAACCGGCTAATCTCCACACCTTCCAAATAGGTTATATTGCGATTCGTTGTTAAGTGTATTTCAACATGTAAGGCGTGTGTCATTAGGTCATTTGTTTTTTCATGAGATAGTATTAATGCCCCAGTGTGCCGCCCCAGAAGGCGTTACATTAAAATCCAGCGTTTTCAGGGGCGAGGCAGAATCGTCGGGTCTCATACAGCGGACGAATTTTATTCCGTCTTTCGGAGATACTTTGGAGACCCTTGATGGGCAGGTGGTGACCATGGATTTCTTCCAGCAGAGGGCCCAGCAGAGGGACAAGACTGCCAGATTTTGAGGAACACTCCACCATACCCTTTGACTTGTAAAGACACACATGTAGGCCATTATTTTAGGGGAACTTGTCCCCAACGTTTTAGCTTAGATTTTCAGCCTTTAGACATATATTGTAGTAGTTCATTGGTATGTAGAACTTAGAGAAAATATCAAAGAAAATTGGCACTTGCCTCCCAAAGCTTGCTTCCTTTTATTGCTTTCTTGTTGGCTGTTTTAGTGGACTGTTTTAGACAGATTGCTGGGCACGTTTTGAGTGCTTGTTTGTGTTAGGACTGAGCATCCGAGGAGCTGTGCAAGCCTTCAGTTGCTGTGCCACGAGCCTTCGAAAAATAGGCCCGTGACAAGTGGTATCAGAGCAACGGTTGAAGCATGACGTCGAAGTCTTAACGCAACGAAGAAGGAGAGCAGGAAGCTCGGAGAGACACTGCCAGAAAACGTGACAAGAGCAGGGTAAGGGAATCTTCTTCCAACCCTCCTGTTGGGGGCAGGAGCCTTGGGGAAGAGGGGGAAGTTTCCGATACCAGCCAACTCGACGAGAAGATCCTCGGAGTTGAGGCTGGTCTGTCGGCCTTGAACAGGCGACTTACAGTTTTCGAAAACAACTTCACTACCCTCGAAACAGTCGCTATTGAAGGCTTCGATGAAGTGAAGAGTAACTTTGAAGAGCTTGAGGAGGTTAACAAGGAAGGACTGACCAACCTCGAACTCAAGCTCACCGAAGCCCTCTCCTCTCTTCACCGAGAGTTTGAGACTTTGAAGAGGCGGGTTGATGAGACTGCCACTGCGGGAGTTGCTGGTCCCGTCACTGTCCGTGAGACACGGATTGAAGCTCCTAAGCCAAAGGAGTTTCGTGGTGAAAGGAATGCCCAAGATGTCGAGAACTTCTTGTGGCAAATGGATGCTTACTTTGAGCACGTTTGCATGGCCAGTGAAGCTGCCAAGATTCGGACAGCAGCTATGTACTTGAGCAACACCGCCATGCTGTGGTGGCGGAGGAAAAAGGCAGACATGGAGAGAGGGGTTTGTTCCATCGACGATTGGGAGCAATTCAAAGGGGAGTTGAAGCGACAGTTCTACCCTCAAAACGTAGTGCATGAGGCTCGTCGGAAGCTGAGGGAACTGAAGCAAACATCCTCCATTCGAGACTACGTGAAGGAGTTCACTAGACTCACTCTCCAAATTTCGAGTTTGACAAGTGAAGACTTGCTGTTTTATTTCTTGGACGGCCTCCAAAACTGGGCCAAACAAGAGCTCCAAAGACGACAAGTTCGTGATGTCGACGAGGCGATCGTAGTGGCAGAATCACTCACTGACTTTCGGGCAGAAGCAGCGAAGGGGAGGGACAATCGGAACAAAAATGTTCCTCCCAAAGGGGATAGCAGTCGGACCAAGAACAGGCCAGTTCCCAACCGAGGCAGCGACACAAGAGGTAACAATCGAAACCAACCTTCTAATTTCCGCAAGAACTAAATTTCCGCAAAAACTATGAGGATCGTAAGAAAGGCGTTCCACATCGTGAGGGTTGTTATATTTGTGGTGAAACTACTCATGCTGCCGTTACTGTCCGTCCTTAAGTAAATTAAATGCAATAGTTGCTGCTCAAAAACAGCAAGAACAGGCTGCATCGCAAACTGGAGGTCCATCCAGTGAACAAGGCGGACAGGCTAGCGGGGCTGAAAAGAATAAGAATGTTGCTGTTGGGATGTTTAATCATATGGCTTTATTTAATCAGATGACTCTTTCTGCGTTAACTGCTCAGCCGGCTAGTATAAGGCCGCGCGAATCGTTGTTTGTCAATGCCAAGTTGAATGGCAAAGACGTTAGAATTATGGTAGACACCGGTGCAACTCACAATTTTGTAACAAAGGAAAGGGCCACTGACCTTTGTTTGAATTATGTTGCTAGTGATACGATGCTGAAAACAGTCAATGCCCTCCCCACAACTGTCCACGGATTCGCTCCTAAAGTCCCCATCGATTTAGGAGGGTGGAAGGGGCTGACAGATTTCACCATCGCGCCCATGGATGTTTTTGACATCATCTTGGGGCTGGATTTTTGGTATGAAGTGAACGCGTTTATTTCGCCGCGTCTCAGCCAATTGCACATCAGTGATGCCGGAGGTTCTTGCGTGGTGCCCCTTATTCGGGTGCCACAAAGCAGAGTGCACTTGTCCGCCATGCAGCTTATTAAAGGCTTCAAGAGAGGGGAACCAACCTTCCTTGCTGCCCTTGTTGGAGGCGTCGGAGACTCGATTGGGGCAGCAGCCTTGCCTCACTGCGTCGAGCAAGTCCTTTACAATAATAGGGACGTGATGCCGGAGGAACTTCCCCAACGGTTGCCACCGCGAAGGGAAGTTGATCATCAGATTGAACTGATTCCCGGGGCAAAGCCACCTGCCATGACGCCTTATCGTATGGCGCCCCCAGAACTGGAAGAACTGAGGAAGCAGCTCAAGGAGTTGCTGGAAGCTGGACACATCAGGCCTTCCAAGGCGCCATTTGGTGCGCCTGTTCTGTTCCAAAAGAAAAAGGAAGGGACTTTGCGCTTGTGTATTGATTATCGGGCCCTCAACAAGGTCACGGTGAAAAACAAGTACCCTATTCCGTTGATCGCAGATTTATTTGATCGATTGGGGCAGGCTAAGGTGTTCACAAAAATGGACTTGAGGAAGGGTTACTACCAAGTCCGAATTGCTGAAGGTGATGAGCCAAAGACGACTTGCGTCACTCGTTATGGTGCCTTCGAGTGGCTGGTTATGCCGTTCGGCTTGACGAACGCTCCAGCTACGTTTTGTACATTAATGAACAAGCTGTTCCATCCCTTTTTGGATCAGTTTGTGGTCATCTATTTAGACGACATTGTCGTCTATAGCAACAGCTTAGATGAGCATGTTGAGCACTTGTGCAAAGTGTTCAAGGTATTGCGTGACAACGATTTGTGTGTGAAGCGGGAAAAATGCAGCTTTGCCCAGGCCACTGTCTAGTTCCTCGGGCACACGATCAACCATGGAGAAATAAGGATGGACAGTGACAAGGTTGAGGCAATTCGAGATTGGGAGGCCCCGACGAAGGTACCAGAATTGCGGTCCTTCCTTGGCCTCGCCAATTACTATCGGCGCTTCATATTTGGCTATTCTGCCATTGCTACTCCACTCACCGACTTGCTGAAAAAGAGTCGTGAGTGGGAATGGGCAGACTCATGTCGAGATGCCTTCGAAAAGCTCAAGGTTGCCATTATTGAGGAGCCTGTTTTGGCACTGCCAGATTTCACCAAGGCATTTGAAATTCACACCGACGCGTCTGACTTTGCTATTGGTGGCGTCCTAATGCAAGAGGGCCACCCGATAGCGTTTGAGAG